TACTGGAGCGATTGTGGTATGGAATGGCTATCCCTACATTGCTCCTCTTCGACACATCAGACTTCATCGGCGTTTAACTGCATGGGTTTCCAGTCGTCAACGCCAACACACAATATTCTCATCATCAGTGCACCTGATTACGGACTATACCGACATGCAAGATCTTGTGAATGGCGCGGTACCATTCAAGCCGCAAGTGGTTGGAATGCTAGTTGGTACCAATGGCGAGATTCGACCATCATCGAGCATTGGCGACAATCCACCTATGCTTTGGAACCTGGCTGTTAAGTGTGCGGAGGACGAGTGGGGCATCAAGATCGACGGCATCGCGTTTGGCAGGTGTGTTCGCAGATTATCCACGGTGACTGGGGAAACTTTCGGCCGACAAGATACCTTGGACTATGCGCGGCGAGAAGTACGTCACCACGGATATCAATCCCAGCAAGCAGGCACTGGACATACTCCCCCTCGTCAAGGACAAAAGACACGAACAGTTGCAGTATTCTATTATATTCGCGCGCATCTATTCCTGATGGCGACGAGATCAAGAAGTGCAGGATCCCAGACTTTTCGGACATATCATCGATTCACCCAGACGACGATGACGACCTGGACTTGCCACTTCAGTGGCCACTGTCACCTGGTCGAGAACCAATACCGGCGTCAACAGGACACCAAGGACCAGGGCCGCCCGCGCCGCCGGCACCACCTGCAGCAATACCCCAACATGAACCACAACCATGACCTGTCGGACCATCTTCCGACGGAGGACCACCGGGAAATCCACCGGGCCCCGGGCAAGCTATCGCCAAGGCACCAGGCCCAATGGAATTCGGCATCAGCGACGCAGCATGGCCAGACGGAGACATTAGCACCATCGACGTCAGCAGCACTCCGCCGAGGCCACCTTTTCCTCCACGAGCACCTCAGCGAGTACGAATCAGGAATGACGACAGTTGGCAAAGGAACCAGCGAACCAAAGAGGAAACGCTACAAGACATCGAGGTGGACGATCACTGCAAGATCAGTGGCGAGCAGTTCGCACCAGAGGTTCAAGGATCAGGAGCTCCACCACCACCGCCTCCAGTGAGTGGTCAGAGGATTCCACGACAAACCTCTGGATGGAGACGTCCACTGCCTACGATACCGGCAACGCCGCGGGCTCGATCTGCGCCGACATCAGTTCGACGGACGCTCAGCAGATTACCTCCTCTACGGCGAAAAGAACCAGGCACCTCGAGCTCAACGGGCAGCAAGCCACCATCGACGAAGGTAGACTCGACTGGCAGACAACCTACTCCGACGACGACAATAACGCCAGCAACGACTACGTACGATAACACCCACGGAATCATCTACACCCAAAGCCTCATCTCCATCTTCAGCAGCCTCACCTTCATCTCCTAAACCGGCAGCGTCGATGGCAACGCCGACGAAAATCACGATCGACCCTCAAATGCCCAAGTCGTCTCCGAGACCTCTCCCAGTGATATCGACACCTCCGGCTCGAGTGGCACCAGCGTCTCCGACAGCGACCACGCCAGAGGTAGACAGGAGCACGATCATCTACGACGACGGCGAAACGCCCCCAGTTGAAAACGACGGCCCTGCTGAAGAACCAGCACTCGACTACGGATCTCCAAAGACCACCGTTCCAGCAGAAGTTCCCGAAGCAAAACCTCAAGTGGCAACGCCGGAAGGACCAACTCAGGGCTCGAAGAAGCACGACTTATCAACCCAGCTAGACGAGGTGAGGATCAAGACTTCGCCCTCGCAGCCCTGAGATCAAGAAGATGAGAGCAAGTTCAGAGCCACCAGACGCCAGGAACGTGGACACCAAAAGACCTCTGCCCATACTGGAACCACCACCATCAAGATTGACCGACACCAAGCGACCCAAGACAATGGAAGGTTTCACGGCATTTGGTGATCAACAACGTGGTGCTCATTTTCAGGGTCGTCACCGGTTCAGTACGCACATGGATTCGGAGGAACTCAATGAGTACCAAACGATCATGACCAACATGGACCAAGAAGTATCGGACAACTTGCAGGGGATGAATAACAATCAACTGGTGTGGACGGCAGAACAAGCTCACTGGGCTATTCCTGGACCTTTCAAGGAAAGCAGGAACTTCTATGTTGATTTGATTACCGGAGACGCAATATTTGCTCATAACGACGACATGCTGACAGAAGAAGACATGGTCAAACGTTGCCCCCTTGTGGAAACAGCAGATCGGCAGGAAGCACGCTCTGTCATTGACAACGATTGCTTCAAGTCAGTCCACCACAACAACATGGACAGCTCGACCATCATCGACGCAGTTTGGGTGAGACGTTGGAAAAGGTCTTCGGTAAAAGGAAACAGCATCACCGACATCATCAAGTCACGTTTGTGCGGCAGAGGCTTCCTGGACGCGCAGAACCAGAACGTCATGAGACATTCGTCGACAGCTTCTCGTTTATCCCAGCGAATAAAGGCATCTTTAGTCTCAACGGAACAAGACACGATCATGGAGACATGGGGCATCCCAACCGCTCTCTTGCAGGGACTGAACTACGAGCAGCTCAGGAAGCACACCAAGAGAATGGCCATCGAAGTTCGAGAACAGCGGAAAGTACATCTGCAACCACCAGCGAAAGTTTGGAGGCATTTTTGAAAATACGAGAAACGCAACATCAGAATTCCCGAGGTGGAGATTATGTTTTGTCGCGTTGCAATTACTCAGGCCTATCTACGGTACTGTTGTGGCAACTGGCCCTATCATTACATGTACTCGACGATTTGAAAGGAGTTCAGAATGTGTTTGAAGACGCATTCTTCATGTGGGTCAGAAGCGGTGAGATAATGATGGTATGGGCAGTTCACGTAGACGACATTATCGTATTAGCAATATTGGCCTGGTAAGCTTGGATTCTAAATTCTATGGAGAATCGCCTTGGCAAAATCAAGAGACATCAACTACGCTTCACGCGTATGGGAATGAGCCACGGAGTACTTGGATATCGACACTTATTCATTCACCAACATGTTTTACCGAAGGTCTGAAGAACATCCAGGCCCCATTCAAGCTCAAGTATAAGCATGGCCACGAGTGCGACGCAAAGTTGACTCATGACCTACGGTCAGTGCTATGGTCATTATTATGGTTATGTCAAGCGCGTGACGATATCTATTGTGACACTGTGCAACTACAACAGGTTGTTCGGAAGAGTGAGATTGGCCATCTGAAGCAGGCGAATCTCATCGTTGATCGAGCGAAACGAAATATGAAGATGGCAAGGCTTCACGTTGGACCAATATCTTACCCAATTCGCTTGGTTTCAATCGGAGACGCGAGGCATGGCAATACGGAAACCTCAGCTCCTCAGGAAGGTGCAGCCGTGTTTCTCATGGAGGACCATATGGATCAAATACGAGTCGACAAGAAGGACTTTGCTTGCCCCGACGACAACCACTTCATCGGAGGAATGACCCATTCATTGGCGCTATCATCAGGAAAATCAAAACGGATATCCCACTCAACGTGGGATGCAGAGACGAATGCGGGTTACAATGTAAACCGAACGGCGCAGTGCATAGCTTTAAGATTGAGTGATATCATCACATGTACGGAGACTCAGCACAAAGCTCGAGATATGATGGAGATGTTCGACCGATCATTAGATCAAGTACATATTGATCACTGCACCGATTGCATGGACTCGTGGCAGTTATGTTGCGGAGCGAAAGGGGTGCCATCGGATAAATCAAGCAGATTGGCAGTATTGAGTATGAGAGAAGAGCGCCTCAGTGGTAGAATTTGTAACTTTATACACTTACCTACAGAAAGGGCAATCGTGGACGGATTAACGAAGACGGGTACGTTCAAGCTCTTGATGGAACACATGACGACTGGCGTTTGGCACGTATCACCACCGAAGGGCAAGTACATCACTCTGAGGAAGATCGCCAAACCACAGGAAAGTTATTCAGAACAGGACCTGCTAGATCTCAATGACTGACGACGCTCAGGAGGTCGCAGGACGAGTGGCTATGCGAGTTGATTTGGGTTCAGGTGAAGACTTGCATTCGATGGGGTGTGCTAGAATGATGTCTTGGATCTTGATATTGATTTTAAGTTATATTATTGCTCTGAGTTGTGCGAGAATGCGGTCAGTGATCTCGATATTGATATTACCTTGATGGCTGGACGCTACTAATATTTGTTTTTTGTGGACATGGCGTTCATTGGAGACTTGATCACCAATGGTTAGGCCGATGTACTTATTTCAATGTGTGGTATCTTACGGATGAGTACTACCGTACGGCGAGCGGCTGGTCGACGCCCTGGACATCGTCAGCGAGGCCTGACTGCTGCTTCTTGCCCTGCCGCTGGCCATTTGTTCGCTTGTCTCTTGAATTTGAGGTTTGAGAGTGTATAGTATTCAAGTGGATAGTTTACAACACCTATCTGTCTTGAGGTGCGCCCAGCGTATACCCGAATTAAGCAATCTGGTATCCGGGACACTGGAACCGGAGCGAAGATTTAGGTCTGAGGTCGGACAGGTATAGTATCTGTTCTTATCACTGTATTGTGTGCTGGCTTGGCTTCACCTAGCTGACTTATATGACTGTAACTGCACCCGAGCTCAAGCTCTTTGACAACAGAGCGATCTCCGCTTCCCCTCCCCCAAATCCCCCTCTACCCCTATGGCAAGCACGCTTGTTGGTATGTCTTCGGCTGTCTCGCGAGCTTGCGTATGGGCACATCTCGTTTGGTCTAGGTATGCCTATGTCTCGGTGGGGTCCAGCATTGAGGAGCCCAGGGGCGGGGTATCATTTCTAGGGGCGAAGAGCGGTGTACGTATTTTGCCGAAAGGAGGGGGACATCGTTGATCGCAAGCCCTGGTAATGTGTCCTCTCTGGTGCACGGCTCTATGTCTCTGTCTGTCTGTCTACCGGATCTCTCTCTCTCTCTCTGGCCTGCCCCGGGCCCCCCCGCACGGGGAAGCTCCCCGCAGCCGAGCGCTGCGCAGCTGCCGGCGGTGGCCAGGCCGCCCAGGGATCCCCCTGCTGAGGGGGACCGTGAGTTTGCGGCGCGCTTAAGGGGGTGGAGGGAGGGGGGAGGGCTTCTTAGAAGGAAGCTGCTTCTCAGGAGTCGCCGGCCTTGCATCTGCAGGCAAGGCCCCCGCTGCCCTCCCCCCTCCCCGAACCCCCTCCGCGCGTGACTGAGTTGGGGGGGGGGACTGGCACAGGGGGGAGGGAACATCGGCCTGGAATCGGCAATGCATCGTACTAAGCCCCCGATATCGAATCCGCGCATTCCTGGGCGAGATGGGGCCATCGGCGACGAATGCGCGACTGGGGGTCGATGCGTCCCCCGAGCCTGTCCCTTTCCTCACGTTGCCCCTGACCTAAGCTAGTCGCGCTGCTATCGAGGAGGCTCGCCGAGGCACCGACGACGGCTGCGCCCGGGTTGCTCGACAGGGCGCCCGCCGAGGCGTCGACGACGGCGGCGCCGGGGTTGCTCGAGAGGACGGCCGCTGGGACGGCGTCGAGCTCCTGGAGCCGACTCGTCTGGCCGCCAGCCTCTTGGGCTACCAAATGGATGCCACTTCGCCGATACTGGAGGGGAAGAGAACGACGACCATGACCAAGACTGAACGCGGAGAGGTAATTAACGGTCTATCTTGGTCACCGCCCAGCTTGGTCAGCGCCAGTTCGTGGATCGTCCTCGCGAAGCGGCGACGGCTGGCATGGAACATGCCCAGGATCGGGGTCGACCAAACCCTGCGACATCTTGCTCATGGTCATCGTGCTTCTTTCCTCGGGATACCGTTCGGTGCCCCCTGCATTCCAATCAGGTCCCCGGCTGCCCATGCGGTGTGGGCCCCCTTGGGCTTCTCTTGGACGCGTGGCAGGTGCTCTGGCGGCAACCTTGCCCTTCCCTGACCAGGGCCCCCTCTGGCAGCACGTGGGTGCGCCCTAACGAGAACACCGGCGCGTGTCCGGCCGTGGGACTCCCCCTCCCCCCCGAGGAGGCCGAAACAGGCGAAACCTAGGATGCGCGGCCTGGCGCTTCCGTGGAGCTTTCAAAGCTCCTCTAAGCTTCCAAGACGTCTTAACGAGGGGCATCGGTGCATCGACATGCCCTTCAGATCCGACGTGGCGCAACTAGAGCGCGTTTCTGGATTTTCGGCGATGACGGGCGTCATGGGGGGGGGGGGGCGGAGAGGGGGGGTATGACGTAACGCCCCCCCCGCCGTGTGGTTCCGGCACCGCAGCCGCGTCCGCGCGCGCGACGCGACGAGCGACGAGCGACGACGACGACGACGACGACGACGCCGACGCCGACGATCACGACGACGACGACCGACGACGACGACGACCTCGACGACGCGATCAGCATGTAGGTGTCGATATGCCCCACTGCGCCTGTGTACACCACAACGCTCGCGTGCACCACAGTGCGAGTGTATACCACAGCGCCTGCGTACACCGCAACAACGGTGTGCAACGCAGCGCCTGTGTACACCACGATGCTCGCGTACACTACAGCGCCGGCGTTCACTTGCACACCGCAGCTACCATGTGCAACACAGCGCCTGTGTACACCACAATGCTTGCGTGAACCGCAGCGTGTGTGCACGCCACAGCGCGTGTCTACACCACAGCATCCGCGTGCAACGCAGCGCTGGTGTACACCACAATGCCTCCGTGTATAGGACAGGTCGAAAGAGCATGAACGCGAGGATCTGCTGCGGACAACTAGACGCCATGCCAGGAAATTGCTGATAATCGAATGCGACGTTCTTCCCTCTTCCCTCCTCCTCTTCCTCCGCCTCCACCTCCACCTCCACCTCCACCTCCACGTCCTCCTCCTCCTCCTCCTCCTCCTCCTCCTCGTCCTCGTCCTCCTCCTCCTTACCCCCCGTCGTGCGGGTTGGCGCTACAGCGCACGTGCGCATCTCAGCGCGCACGGCACAATGGTCTATTGAATCGGTCCAGTTGGTTCTCGGACGGCCAATTTAGCTGGAACCTCCTGGACGCAAAGGGAGGAGTTAGGGTGATGCGGGCGGACTCGGGAGGACACGTGGATTCCAGCGGCGCTATTTGTTTTTCAGTGGAATCCACAGGCGCTCTATTTTGTCATAAGGATTCGTTATCACATTTTGTATACAACACTGGTGCTGTGTTGCACACGGTTGCTGTGGTGCACACAAGCGCCGTGGTGTACACAAGCACTGCAATGCACGCAAGCATTGTGGTGTATACTGGTGCTGTGTTGCACACAGATGATGTGGTGAACGCAAGCGCTGTGGTGTGCACAACAGCTGTTGTGCCCGCGGGCACGGTGGCACAAACTGACGCTGTGTTGCACGCGGCTGCTGTGGTGTACGTAGGCGGTGGTGTACACAGGCGCTGTGGTGCACGCAGGCACTGTGGTGTACACAGGAGTTGTGGTGAAAATCGCCACCCACATGCTGGCGCTACCCGTCCTCCGTCATTCCGAGTCATTCCTGGGCATTCCCAATCGCCGCCGGCGCGAAACGTGACGTCATCGACCGTCTCCATCCCCCCTAGATGACTGCCATCATCGGCCCGGAATAACAAGCAGGCTTCAGCCGCGTCCGCGCGCACGACGACTATGAGCGGCGAGCGACAAGCCACGAGCGACGACGACGACGACGACGGCGACGACGACTGCGGACCTGACTCCTATGCGGATTCCAACGCGGACACCTACGCGGATCCCAATGCGCACAGCGGCACTGCTCGGAGCGCACTGGGGGGCACTGCCCGGAGCGCACTGTAGGGACAGCGTTACGTCATGGGGGGGGGGAGGGGGGGGCGGGGGCCATGACGCCCGTCATGCCCCAAGCAATAAAAAAACAGGTTCCTGCCGCCACACACACACACTCACACACGCACGTACACGCACGCACGCACGCACGCACTTACGCACGTACGCGCGCAAGCAAGCAAGCATACACACACACACACACACACACACTCTCACTCACTCACTCACTCACACACACACACACACACGTTGCACACACGTTGCACACACGCACACACACAACCGGAGCCCTGGAACAAATTCTCCGCAACCAATTTTGAGCCCCATCGACGTATGACGCCCACAAGCCCCGAAACTGGGCAAAACCTCCCTGTGCCAAAATAAGATGCGGCGCCTGGACCTCAAAGTGCGCACCACCGACGTCGTGATTATTGCGCGATGCGAACCCAACAAAATTGGCCCTCTTTCCTGGGGAGTGGTTTTCATCACGTCGCATCGCCGGCGGCACGAGACCTGCATGAAGTATCACAGGGCGCCTTCACTCCTGATGACAAGAATCTGGACCAAAACAACTGGTGACACCATCATGGGTACATGCATGGGGACAGAGCCTTGCAGAAGCACTCGGGCTGCTGCGTGGCCAGCACCCTGGCTCCCCGAGCGGTCATGGCCTGCCTCGGTGGGAGAAGTACTGCAGGAATCTGGCGGCGGGGCCCGCCCCGTCAGGGGAATAGAACTCTCTGTTCAGCAAAACGACTGCAAAGCGGACCTTGCACGCAAGTCCCCACGCGCGCCGCCCCGTCGAGCGGCCTGGGCGGGCAGCGCGCCCGCTTTCAGATGCCCCTCGACGGCCGCGACAACGTCGCCACAGTCATCGCGATACAGATTTCTGATATTAGGGGGACGGGCCCTTGTCGCCACCAGCCTTCGCCGCATCCAAAGATTCGTCCCATCCTCGAGTCCACCCGGGCACCACCTGGAACCTTGGCGGCGCCAGATCGCGACGGACTGGTTGCTCTGGCTCCGCTGCAAAATGCGCGAGATCAACTCCTCCTTCCGATTATGGGGCTTGTCCATCTCGGCGCCGTCCGCGTCCGTGGTCGCTAGCTCGAGCTCCGTCTCCAACATTGCGTGGATGCGCCCCCCCGCCCATCGGCGCAGCGATCAGCTTTGCATCGACGCGACCATCACCATCACAATGATCATCATGAAAAAGATCGCCATCAACTCTTGGGAGACGTTGCTTCCGAATTCCGCCGGGCGACGCGCGGCAACTCCGTCGTTCGCCTCGGTCGCTGCCAGACCGGCCCCCATGGGTTGGCATCGCGCCATTGCCGCCAGGGTCAGCCGTGAAAATCATCAACTGGTTATTGCGCGGCACAGCTGGGGCATGCGCCGCGATCGCCATCGCCGCGTTCTCTTCGGGGCGGTTGATCTCGGCGCGGCCGACCACGTCTTTCAGGATCAACAGCACGCGGAGACGAACCTCCAGATGGGCTTTGGCGCCCAGGGCCCAGGTCGCTCGCATTCTCACCGCCCTGCCATTCTTGACTCCGGGCCCCGCGCAAGTCGAGCTGCCCCGCGCCGCCCGCGCCGCCGCGCAGCAGTGCGCCCTGGGCCGCCGCGCAGTCCACAAGCAAGGCGCGCGTCAACCCGCGACCCGAATGCCCCAACAGAACCCAGACCACCGCGCCCTCCATGAGCACGCTGCTCGAGCAGCAAAAACTGCGCCCCCCCGCTGGGCATGCCCCGGGCCCCTTGGCGCCAGGCAAGGCAGCTGAGCGGAATGCGATTCTGGAGCCGGAAATCATTTGTTTATTTCTCGGCGGTCGTCGGGGGGATAGTTCGTGTCCGCTTGAAAGGAGGAGCGAGGTCTTGCCTGGGCGCCCTCGCCCGCCGCGCAGCGCGCGCCCGGACTCGCGGGGCGCTCCAAGCAGCAGATCATTTTGACCGCGCGCTGCTTGTCGCAGAGCCGCGGGCCCCAGCGTCTCCCCGCCATGAGCCCCGCGCCCGGGTCGGCTCCCAGGTGGCTAGGCACTCTCCAAGCCACCTTTGCAGGTTAAGGGTACTTTCCCGTCAATGGGATGGCGCGCTGTGAACTCGGCGGTGGTTCATGGATTGCTTAAGGTTTGTTCCCGTGGTTTAAGGTTGGGTTTCGCCCAACCCCCCAGGCTCATGGTTTCAAATCGGTGGTTTATGCGATCTTGGCGTTTGCCAAGACGCATGCACGGTTGAAGGTCATCTCACAAGGCACGCCAGCTATACGCCTGGCAACGCTCCGCTACCACATGCAAGCTTGACCGCGGTGCCGAGAGCAAGAAAACGATGGCAGCAACTATAATCTCAAGTCCCGCGGCAGCGCGGAGATGCACTTGAACGGTTCGAGCCAAAATGGCCACGGAAGGAGCTGGTGGGATGAGCGGGAAGAGGCGGTGGGGGAAACGAAGTTTGAGAAAAGGAGGGGCAAGGATATGACATCGGGATGAATAGAATGGGAGGGGAGGGGGAACGAGGGGCAGGAGGACGAGGCTGTGGAGTAGGAAGGATTTTCCGCATTGGTAGAATGGTTGCCCCCCCCCTTCCCAAATGCCCCGCAGGACACTGGGAAAAGAGAACAGGGAGGGGGCTAGCGGACGGCGACAGCGCTTGAGCCAATATGGCAACAAGGAGGGGGAAGAGGAGGAGGAGGAGCAGCAGGGGGAGAAAGCACACGGGGTAGCAGAGAGCAGAACGAGGATGAGGAGCAGGAGGAGGAAGAGGAAGAATATTCATTCCTGCGGGTGGC